TCAAAAATATAAATCTTTGTTTTACTATGGTTGCAAATATCAAAAAATTTCTATATGTGACATGGCACCAGAATTAAGTTAGGGTTGTTATAATGCTGACACGCTGAGCTCAAAAGGTTCGCCTTCACTGCTATACAGTATTGTTTCGGGATCAACTCTCTGGAATTCTTTTATTCTGAATATTTTTGATCTGCTATTGGTTGAATCCACAGATGCAGAACCCGCAGATGAGAACCAACTGTATATACACTTGCTCTCTCTTCCCCCATCGTGTGTGTGTGTGTGTGTGTGTGTGTGTGTGTGTGTGTATGAGGGAGAGAGAGATAGAGACAGATGGAGACAAACGGGGAGGGGGAGAGGCAAAGCAAATGAGGTTAAATATTAACAGTAATAAACTTGGGTTAAGTGTATATGGTGTTCTATGTACTATTCTTATTCTTGTAACTTTTCTGTGAGTTTGAAGTTATTTCCAAATAAACTGTCAAAAAATAAAGTACAGTCCACCACTGCTCTCTATCCCCCAGCCATGGCACTTCCAATCCCCTTTATCTTGCTTCCACTCTTCTTATCAAGGGAGTGTCACCTTCGGACACACTGATTCATGCATACCTTTATGTTGATTACCATCTCCCCCTTAGCAGATTGAACTCTGGGAGGACTGAGCTTCCTTCGTGCTCTAAGTCTGGAGCGGGTGCAGCAGCAGTGCATGACACACAACAGCGTGAATGGGTTTGGTGAGGGGCACTGGGTTCCGCAAGATGACTGCCTTGTCCTGAACCTCCAAGCGAGTCCTCCTCCCCATGCCAGCTCAGGCCTAGAGGATTCTGTATAAAATTGAAGGAGAGAGCTTCTTGACCTGGGTACACTGGGCATAGAGACAGGGGGCAGAAAAGGCCAGCATGAAGAGAATTAAGTGATAGTCCAACACTAAGTGCTGACACTCCCACCTAAAAACCCAGCCTCTTGTGCTGTTTTGCTTCGATGATGCTGTCCTCAGGCAGGAGATCTGAACTTTTTTTGTCTTTTGAGAAAATGAATGGCTCCAGAGAAAAACATACAGATCACAACATTGGGGAACAGCACCCAACATGTCAGGACACCTGTCCAACATCCTGCAGTGATGCTGACTAGCTCACCAGACTCACTTCCACCCAAAACCTCCCAGGATTTTCACTGCGTCTTTCTTAAATAGAAGCAGATAACGAAGGAATGTCAGGATTTCAGGAAAGCTTCAATTACAGTAGTCAGATTAACACAAACAAAACATGAGCAAAGGGATTCAGATGAATAGAGACAATGCAAGAGTACAGCAAAACTCCAAATATTTGTCGTCCTCAGACAGTGTGAGTGAGCCATGAAATAATAGAAAGGATAACACAAAACGGGAACAAAAAAATAAGAAGTTATCTCAGAAAATATTTGCATGAAGGCCGAAATCCAAAGTTCAATGAGATAAATTCCAAGATATAATTGGGAAAATAACCCACATTTCTCATTGTATACAACCAAAAATTAAAAAAACACACCAAAAAAAACCAAAACAGAGATGGACAATGGAAACCAAAATAAATCCAGAGAATCATTTACGGAGAAAACAAAGAGAGAAAAAAATACTAGAGAAGTTTTCAGTATGTTAGCATGCCAATTTCCAGATGAAAAAGGATAAACAATCCAAAAAATATCATCGTAAAACATAATCATGGGGATAAAGATTCTAAAACTGTCCAGAGGAAAAACAGGTCCCCAAAAGAATACAAAACTCGAACTGGCATACTTCTCAGTGGCAAAGCCTGAAGAACTTGAAGCTAGGCAACAACAGCTGGTAACAGTGGATGCGGGGGTGGGGATGGCAGACCAGCTACTGCAGAGCAATCTTCCTGCCAAGAACATTAGGAAAGCTGGAAAAATTATTTATTTAAAGTGCTTTTGAAAGCATCAAAGGCAGAGGTGATCCGAAAGGCCAAAATTCTAGAGAACAATGGAACTCAGAGAGGTGTGCTGAAATAGCTCATCTTCATTATTGACCGATTTGCGAGCAACAGCTAAAAGAGCAAGAAGCTAAACGGGGTTTCTAGAAGTTTTCTTTGGATCAAATGTCAAAACGTGGGTGCTGGGTGCCCATTGAAAAGAAAGCACCCTGGGCTCTCAGTGGGACCCAGTAAGGGGCCACCCCCAGGCACAGTGATGGACGGGAAGCAGACCCGTCCTCACGGAGGGAGCCTGGTTTCGCCCAGTCCCAAAGGCATTAAAGTCACTGGTCTTTACTATAACTGCTGGTCAACAGCAAAAGCAAATCCGCCCTGGAGGAAGACAGGAGCCTCCTATTGTCAATACAACTTTTCATATATAATGATAGGTATTCAATTAAAAAAACAACCACCTCACCAAGCCGTGATGGTTAATTTTCTGTGTCAATTTGACAGGCCAAGAGTGACAGATATGTGGTCACACACTATTCTGAATGTGTCTGTGAGGGTGTCCTGGATGAGACTAACATCCGAGCTGCGAGGCCAAGCAGAGCAGATTGCCCTCCCAATGCTGGCGGGCCGCACCCAATCAGTGGGAGGCCCAAATAAGCAGAAAAACCGTGAGGGAGAACTCCCTCTACAGCTGCCCCTGACCTGGAAACTGCCTTTTCTTCTGCCTTTGGACTCAAAGGGAAACATCTGCTTTTCCTGGACCTTGGGCTTGACTGTTTTCGCAGTGATGGTGAACCTATGGCACGCGTGTCAGAGGTGACACACAAACTCATTTTTTTGGTTGATTTTTCTTTGTTAAATGGCATTTAAATGTATAAAATAAATATCAAAAATATAAATCTTTCTTTTACTATGGTTGCAAATATCAAAAAATTTCTATATGTGACACGGCACCAGAGTTAAGTTAGGGTTTTTCAAAATGCTGGCACGCCGAGCTCAAAAGGTTCGCCATCACTGGACTAGAGCGTATGCCGCCAGCTCTCCTGGGTCTCCAGGTTACTGACTACAGATCTTGGCACTTGTCAGCTTCTGTAATGGTGTTAGCCACTTCCTTCTAGTCAATTTCTTTCTGTAAATATACACACGTCCCATTGGTTCAGTTTCTCTGGAGAACCCCAACTAGTACAAAACTACACGGGACTTAGATACTAGAATGATTAGACACAATCTTTATTTTTATTTCAAATATGTCATCTCTGAGTTTTTATATTTTAAGAATAAAAAGTAATTGTACTTTTAAAATTATTGACAGTACAAAGGAGAATAAAGTCAGACATAAACTTTAAAATAACTGTAATTAATGTGATCAAATTAAGTAACAAGATGTAGAATTTCAGGAACTGGTAACTATAAAAATAACAAAATGGAAATTCTATGAGCAAAAAAATGAATAACTGAAATTGAGACTGCCATAGATGGGTTTAAAAGCAGTTCATACATAGTTAAAGTGAGAATAAGAATATGTCTAAATTGAAGTAGGGAGAGAAAAAGTTATTGTATGTAAGTTATACCTCAATTTAAAAAAGAAAGCCTCAAAAATTTAATAGGGAAAATCAAATAAATATGCAATGCCTATCATATATAAGAATTATGAGAAAAAGGGTTACAAAGGAAGGATGGTAGAAATAATGGGAAGAATTGGGAAAAGAGCTCGCGAAGGAGTTTGCATTTGAGATGACTGATTTTAAAAGATGGACAGAGGCACCAGTTAGGTGGTGGTAGAAAAAAGCAGAAAGGAAGTGGAAAACAAGAAATAATAATAGTTAGGAGGCAGCACTAGGCATGTCTAGGGCAGAGACAGGGACTGTGACGGAAGGAGACACCATGAGGCCACCTTCCTCAGAGGACCTGGAGAAGAATTCCCCTGGCACCCAGATAATTGGGATCTGTCCCTAAGTTTTTATGAAATAATCATCCATATGACATTGCTGAAGCCCTCAGAGCCTGTCTCCTCTGCACCAGGGCACCAGGAGTCCCAGCATGTTTCTGAGGGTGGTAGGTTATGGAAGAGGCGAGGCTGGGTCTCTAACACTCGGTGTGGCTTACTGCAGAGGCTCCCATAACTCACTGGTGAGGAGATAAATTAAAATTGTTGAGATGGAGCTTCTGAACTTGTTGACAGACTTCATTGATGTGTACTCCCTCTGGATCTGTAGGGCTGACACTGGGAAATGATTTACTGTCTGGTTTCCTAGGGACAAGTTGCCAGAAATAATGCTGGTTTCAATCTCTATCCATTCATCAATATACCTCTCCGAGATCTGATAATCTGGCATTTCCCCAACCAAACCCAATCAGCCTGACCTGGCCTAGAATGCAAGGTCTTAAAGCAGCCACGTTTTATTCTTGTGAAGCATCTTTCACATGGTGCCTGCTAGGCTTTTTCCACTTCAGGGAATTTTTGTGTGGCCTACGATGCATATTGTTCACAGATTTTCCACCCAAGCAAGAAGGGAGGGTGAAACAGCCTCATGCACACTGGGTAACCATATTAGACAGCCCTTTCCTTCCTGAAAGATCACATTCATAGTTTTCATCTCTACAAACTGATAGATCTAAAAAGAATCTTCTCGCTGGCATAAACAATAGCCACCCAAAAAATTTCACAGAATTTTGCTCATCTGTTTCCACTCTCTTCCATGTTTATCTCTTGTCTGTTATGCTCTGTCCACTGAGACTCTATGAATTTGCTCTTCTGTGAACACCCACTTAATTAGCATAACAATGTCTAAATGTAGCAAGGTGCCAGCTATGTTTTCTAGACCTGTATCCATCCAACTGCAAGGGTATTCAAAAAGACAACACCTGCCCTAGATGGTTGGGCTCAGTGGATAGTCAGCCTATGGACTGAAAGGGCATATGCCCGGGTTGTGGGCTCAATCCCTGGGAGGGATTTAATTTAATTCTCTCTCATCATTGATGTTTCTATCTCTCTCTCCCTCTCCCTTCTGCTCTGAAATATCCTATATAATAAAAGAGAAACATGCAAATTAACCATCCCTTTGCTACGCTCAAGCCACGCCCACCAGCCAATGAGGAGTACGCAAATTAATCCGACAAAGATGGTGGGTATTTTGCATACACAGAGCAGAGTGGGAGAGCCGGCAGCTTGGGGGGCGGGGGGGGCGCGGCTCTCTCGGTTGCTCCCTCAGTCACTTCCTTGGGGGGACGTGGCTCCCTCGGTCACTGGACGGAGAGCAGAGCAGGAGAGCCGGAGACCTGAGGGAATGTGGCTCCCTCGGTCGGGGAAAATCCAGAGGGTGGGGAGCACCAGGAATTCTGGGAATAGTTTTGGTGGCAGCCCCAGGACCGGAAGCAGAAGCCCAGAGCGCGGGGAGCACCAGAAATGTTGGGAATCGTAGTTCTGGTGGCATACGGATCTAGACACTAGAGCAAAGTGAGCCTGGAGCAAGTTACTGTTGCAGTTGGGGATGGAGGGAAAGCAAAGGTGAGAGACATAAGTAAAATCAGAGTGCCTAGGAAAAATTAAAGGGAAGATATCCTAAAACTTTCAGGAAATCTCCACCAATGGAGCAAATTGAAAAAAATGCCTCTATTATTCTGTGAGCAACAAACCAAACTGAGTTGGGGGAGTCTCAGACAATTCACTCATATGATTGCAAAGACAGACAGAAATTCCCAGATTGGAGAGGGTGCAGGTTGGGCTGAGGGACACCCCCTCCACCCCCTCCTGCCCAGTGCATGAATTTTCGTGCACTGGGCCCCTAGTATATTTATAAAAGACAACACCTCTGTCTTAGCATGGGCCACCTATTCATATCCCAGAGCCTTTAAAGTCTTTACCTCTATGAACCTCATGATCTGATGAAATGTGAA